GGGATGCGTGCCAATACTAGGTTTAGGTTAAACCTAAGGCTGACTGGGCTTCCCAAAGATTGGGCCTTGTTGGCTGATTTATCCTTTTGCATGAATGGACACGTGTCGTGTCGCAATTGGTCCATGGAGGAAGAATATATGGTTGACACGTGGCAGGCTCCTATTGGCCCATGTGGCGGACACATGGCGGTACCTGACTGGTCCACTTGTCAGATGGTGATTGGTGGATAAAAATCCCCTAATCAGAGTCCATATCAAATTTTATGGCTTCTTGCCATTTTGCAAAGTCGGGGCTCATCATAGCTTGTTTGTATGTCGCTGGCTCATCTTCATCCATAACTAGGATGTCTTGATTCTCGGTTAAGAAAACACTGAGGTATCTGTCTGGTTCAGATCTTGGTCTTTGCGACCATTGCAGGGTAATAAAATGAGCATTTTCTTTGTCATTTTGACTTTTAACATTGTTGGTTTGACTCTGACCATCTTCAACAGTTGCTTCCAAAGCACTTTGATTGTCAGTTTTGTCAGGTTAACTTTGTTGCTCACCTTCTCGACCTTCATCAAGTTCGATTTTCCTCCCACTTGTCATTTTGGAAAGATGTTCCTTTTCCAAAAAGACACCATCTCGAGAAACAAATACTTTATTCTTAGATTGGTTGTAGAAGTAATTCCCTTTTGTTTCTTTTGGATATCCCACAAAGAAATATTTGTTAGATTTTGGTGTAAGCTTGTCAGACATGAGTCTTTTGGCATATGCTTCGCAACCCCAAATCATAAGAAAAGAGAATTGTGAAGGTTTCTTCGTCCATAATTCATATGGAGTCTTTTCGACGGCTTTTGACGGAGCGCAGTTCAGTGTAAGTGCTACGGTTAGAAGTGTGTGTCCCTAGAAAGAAATAGGAAGATCACTAAGACCCAACATTGATCAAAACATGTCTGACAAAGTTCGATTTCTCCTCTTGGAAACTCCATTCCATTGTGGAGTTCTGGGAGGTGCATGTCAATTCTGAGAGAATACCTTGTTCTTTAAGATGGTCGTCGAATTTGTAGCTCAAATACTCGCCACCTCGATCCGATCGAAGTGCTTTGATTTTCTTGCCAAGCTGATTTTCCACTTCACTCTAAAATTCTTTGAAGTTCTCAAAGGGTTCAAAATAAGTGCGACATAAGGTAGACATAACCATATCCACTATAGTCATCCGTAAATGTGATAAAATAGCGATAACCATTTCTTGCGGTTCTACTCATTGGTCCACATACACCCGTGTGTATAAGACCTAATAAGTCACTAGCCCTTTCTCCCAACTTGGAGAATAGTTGCCTTATCATCTTGCCTAGAAAGCATCTTTCGCAATTTTCAAACGACTCTAAGTCGAATGAATCAAGAATCCCTTCATGAAAAAGCTTTTAGATGCGTTTGATGTTAATATGGCCAAGTTGACAATGCCACAAGTAGGTTTGATTCGACTCAACGGTCTTAGCCCTTTTGGTGGTATCATAAATATTGTAAACATGTTTGTCTAGTGAAAGCACATAAAGACCATTTTTTTAATGTGTTGTACCATATAAAACATTATTAAGAGAAAATGAATAATATTGTCTTTTATCCGAAATTCAAAACCCTTGGCGTCCAACGCCAAAATTGAAATAATGTTTTTGGTAATGTTTGGAACATGATAATAATCTTCAAGTTCTAAAACAAGCATAGAGGGAAAAGACAAACTAAGTGTCCCAACGGATACGACCACAATCCTTGCTCCATTGCCGACCTAGAGTTCCACTTTTCCCTTCACTAGCCTTCTAATTTTCCTTAGTGAAAGGAATGGTGTCCTTTCAACAAGTGTATTATTTCGATAGAGGGTTCAGAATTATAAGAAAGCTAATTATTTAGTGAGGTCAAGTGATCGGAATGCTTCCGATCAGTAATATTAATGTATAATTAATATTACAGCTTAATTAATATTACAGCTTAATCTTGACTGAACACTTCGGGTCACACCCCAATCGAGTAACCAATCCGAGGCGACGAATCAATCCGAAGGATTAAATGAGTCATTAGAGTATTATGAACAAAGACATCGGATATCGAGCTTAGAGCATCGAAACCGAGCGTCGTAGGTCGAGTCGAATTTAGGAATCAACGAAATGAGAAATCAAGCAAACAACAAAATACAAATATAACCCTAGCCTCGGAATGCCCTGAGCAATCCGAGGGCCAAGGGCAATATAGCTAGCCAATAAAACTGAACCATGCCGAGCTAGCTAGCAGCGCTGGCTAGCTAGCTGGTGCGGCATGGCCAGCATTGATGGCGCGCTAGGCTTGCTAGCATGCTAGTGCCTCGCACATAGCAAAGCCAGTCGCACCATCGCAAGGCCAGCAGCACGCAAGTGCTTGCTGGGCCTCGCTAGCACAAGCAACGCAGTAGCAGCAGTAGCGCGCAATGCATGCGTAGGCTGCGTGTGTGCGTGCTTGCGTGCTGGGCTGTGTGCACGCACATTTCCCAGGTAACAGGCCTATCCAAGGGGCCAGGCCGCCAGCAAGGCAGCCTTGTCACCTAAGGCTGGCAGCACCGGCTGGCGCGCGTGCATTGGTTGTGTGTGTGGGGAGCCGGTTTATGTGGGTTGCTTGGGGAGCAAGGGGTGTCTCCCCTTTTGGTCCTCACCTAACCTCTTGAAACTTGTTATTTGTTGATTCTCTTGCATTTTAATTTGCTTTTGAATTAAAATAAATTGAACAAAGTGCAGTTTAACCAACTCTGCCACATTAATGGGAAATTGGAATATTCAAGGCTCCCTTCCCTATAAATACCCATCATTTGGGATTGGGAAAGGACACTTGAGTTGTGAATTTTAAGGGTTCTCCAAGAAGATAATACCTTAATTCTAATACTCTAAGCTTCTTGGTCTAGCCCTGACTAACCTTAGAGGTAGGGACCATTCGGGTTGGGTCTCGAGGGTGTGAGTCGTCCGAGGCTCACGCGCTTGCGGAGCTAGCGCTTTCAAGTACGAGCTCTTGAGGCAGAAGTTTTGGAGAAGGCTTCAAAAACGTGGGCTAAGAATAAAAGAGCGTGGTAGAAATAGAAAGCTGAAAAGGAAGGAGGTAAAAGAAAAAAATCCTCTAATGCTTGGGAACACTTTCAAGTGCTTAAAACGGACCTAAATCATGCTATATATCTTTATTGTGGGAAACTAATTGGTTGTGATCCAAAGAATGAAACTAATTGCATGAATCGATACTCTAAAAGGTGTAAAATATCTCCAATTATAAAGATAAATCTCAAACTATCTTAGATTTTGAGTCTAGGACAAAGGTTAATATTGATGGGAGTGTGCAAACTGTTAGTGTTCCTATATTGTTAAGATCTAATCATGATGAGATTAGAAAAGAACTTGCTAAGATGTTGGTTGTAGATGAGTTGCCTTCTGCTTTTGTTGAACGTGAAGGTTTTTGTAAGTTTTGTAAAGTTGTTGTTCCTGAATTTATTCCTCCCTCACGTGCTACCATTACAAGGGAATTTTATGGTCTTTTTATTGAACAAAGGAAAAAGTTAAAGGATTTTTTCAACAATTTGTCTTCTAGTGTATGTCTTACTACAAATACATGGACTTCGGGTCAAAACTTGTCATATATGTGTCTTAGTACTCATTTCATTAATGATGATTGGAAATTGCATAAAATAACTTTTGTCCTATTGCTGGTCATTCTGGGGAGCTTATTGGTAAATCTGTTGAAAAATGTTTGCTAGATGGAATTTGAAGAGGATTTTGACTGTAACAATTGACAATGCTAGCTCAAATGATTTGGCTATAAAATACTTGAAAAAAATCTTTAATCTTTGGGATGGGTGTGTGTTGAATTATGAGTTTATGCATATGAGATGTGCTGCACACATTTTGAATTTGGTTGTTAAAGATGGATTGAAAGATGTGAATGTTTCTATTTTAAAAGTCCGAGCTGCTGTGAAATATGTGAGGTCTTCTCCTTCTAGGCTTCAAAAGTTAAAGTCTTGTGTTGAGGAAGAGAACATCACTTCAAAAGGTCTTGTTTGTTTAGATATTGAAACAAGATGGAATTCCACCTATTTGATGCTTAAGACTGCTTTAGTGTTTAGTAAAGCCTTTAAGAATATGAAAACAAAGTTATCTCCTTACACTAAAGAGCTTATGAAGCAACCAGTGGGGGGTGCTCCCGATGATGAGTATTGGAATAAAATTCAAAGTTTCTCACCTTTTCTTGAAATTTTTTATAATGCTACTTTGAAGTTATCCGGATCTCGTTATGTGACGGGAAATACTTTTGTGGAAGAGATTTATGATATTCGGTACACCATTTATGAATATGCTAGTGACCGAATGATGATATAAAGAATATGGCAACACAAATGAAATTGAAATTTGACAAGTATTGGCAAATGTTCATAATATTAATATTTTGATGTTCATTGCATTGATTCTTGATCTAAGGAATAAGATGAAGTATACGGAGCATATTGTACGTAATTCTTATGATGTTAGCAATTCCTATATTTTGTGTCAACGTAGTCAAGATACATTAAATTCATTATATGATTGCTATATACAAAAAGTAGGGTAATCTTCTACTAATATTGCCTCTACAAGTCAAAGTCACTACTACATTTTTTATCTACTGCAACCCTCAAATCCGTTGCATTAGGCGTCAAAATCCGTGGTATTAGGCCTAATGCAACGGCCATGTACCGTGGCATCCGCTGACGTTGGAATAGGTCTAATGCAACGGCATATGACACCTAATGCCACGGCATCAATGATCCGTGGCATTAGATCAATACCTATTGCAACGGCAACATTATCGCCGTGGAAATAGCTATAATACCTAATGCCACGGTGCATATAACCTAATGCCACGGTTCCCTATACCTAATGTCACAGAATGCATATACCCTAATGCCACGGTTCACTATACCTAATGCCAATAATACAATTAAAATAAGAATTTTTTTTAAAAAAAAATAGAATTTTATTAAAATGAATTCAAAGTTTGTACATTGTTACCTATAAGGAAAATTACAAAATTAAATTAGAATTTTATTAGTATGAATTCAAAGTATTTGCTTGCTTCGGCTTTGCAGCTCTCTGTGTGCAAGCTGCTGTTGGGGCTGTTCTGGTTTTGTCCAGCCTGCTGCTGGTTGCAGGTGCTACCACTGGTGTACTGGTGCTGGTTGTTGATACTGGATTCTTTTGCAGTGGCATTGCTGGTCTTCAGCTAGTCAGCTGCTCCTTGTTTATCTGCTGGTTCTGCCACAGCCTGCTTTCTCCAGCCTGTTGCTACTGATATCTGTTGCTGCTTGATGTTCCTGTATTACCGGTGCTGTATTGCTGGAATGCTGTTGAGGTGTTGCTGGCGTGGCTTGCTGGTTTTGGCCTGTAGGTACTTGCTGCTGGTTATGTTTGCTGCTGTTTCTGCCAGCTGTTGTTTCTGCTATTGTTTATTTCACCTACACTAGAAGCCAAAATAAGGAGGTGAAAAAATCAATAGACTTTCTAATTCCTATATCAGTAAAGCACTAGCCCATAACTCCATTAGTACTTACATAAGATTGAATAACTTCATTACTCTGTCAACCTTAAAGGGAAGAAAGGAGACTAAACATGCCTATTATTTGCCAAATGTTGTAACAAAAGAAATAATCTCAGGAAAGTGATTTTATGATGCAAAAATAATGAAGGCCTAACTTGGTATCTTTACCGACAAGAGGAAGTTTATTTGTCTCGCACTCAATTAGATTTTCCTTGCTAATCAAACAATTATCTAAAAAGAACTAGAGAAATCAAAATACTCTATAAATCTCAACGCACGTTACAACAAGCTGTAACGTAATACAATGCAAATGGCATCCTAGTGCAAAAGCCACTGCCAAAGAGAGGCCATAAAAACAAGTTAAATGATCCCAATCTTATCATACAAAAAGTTCATCACTTTCCTATCAGAGTAACATTTAACTTCTAAGATCATATTTCTCTAAAATGCAACAAACATATGAAACAATAAAAAATTGGAAAAAAATGAAGCAACAATATCAGATTGTCAGGAATTTAACAATTTGCAAGATATCACCAACATTCCCTAGATTTCCAATAATATGATATTAAAAATAAAATGAGGGAATCAATGCATAGAGAAAGAATTATAACTAAAATTGAGAAATTATAGAACAAAATCCATCATTTGAGTCATTTGTAATCCCATAATTTGATTTTATAACGAAAATCAAAAGATAAAAAACAAAAAAAGTGAAGAAAGTATACAAGTAGAAAGGCCAGATAGTAAAATCGAGATCAAAGACAACCAATTTGGGAAGAACTTGGAACAAATTTATGGTTTGCAGAACTTCTGTTTTGACCCTTTCAAAGTCAATTACAGAATTTATAGCAAATAATCTCCAAAAATAACACTAATTAAGTAATCAACTCAGAACCTAAATAATTAAACCCTAATTATACAATCAAATGAACAATACTTATAAATCAATACTTATAATTGAATGTAAGCCAACAAAGCCACCACAAAAATTATAATGTAAGCCGGCAAAGCCACCACAAAAATTATTTAACAGAGCTATTATACATATATAACAGGTTATCAACTTCACTAAGAGAAAGAAAGTAACAACGAAAAGGTAAATATGCAAGATTTACTTTATTATCCTCCTTTACATACTGCAATATAAGACCCTGTCCCCTAGATCAGCACACTCCAAGGAATTAAACAAATGATAAATTAACTTGGACAAGATACTCGTAACTAGATCAGTATTTAGTAATTCTGAAGTACAAAAAGGGAAACAAAAAAAAAAGAAAAAGAAAAAAGAAAACTGACTTAGCCACAAATCCATAGAAGCAAATCATAGAGTCCCGGTCATTCTCGTATGCCATATTCACTTTTCCCAGACAACCAATCCTAAAGCTAGGATCTGCAATATTACATAAATAAAAGTTACATAAAAGTTACTTCAAAGAAACGTTTAAAACCTAGGCGCAGCTACAGCTACAGCTACAGCGTCACATATTTATTCTTACATAAATCACAATATGGGGAATCAAGCCAAAATTTGACTAAATAAATATAAGGGAGCAACCCACAAGATTTAAGATTAAATAAATCCAATGCAATAAAGACCCACCACTTGTCTAAGATACTCAACAACCCTCATAAACTTTACCGAAATCTAGCAAAGAGCATATAATCTAAACATGACCCAACCAAACAGTAATGTCTTATGGTCAAGTCTCCATTACATACAAGAATCAAGTAAAGAAAAAACCAATCCAGGGAAAAGGAGGCAGGGGAGAGTTAAACAGTTAGGACTTGTGATTAGGGCATTCGTGAAAAAATATTTAATGTTGCACAAAGACTAGCATTCTGCAGTCCAACACACCAAGAATGAAGATGCAGGCTTTCCAATTTCCAGTTTTGCTCTTGAGGACAGGCTACCCTGAAAAATCTCGTGGGCCATCTCCAGTGGTTAAATTACAATGTTCCTCCTACAATGATATATACACAGATCAGGAGCAGAGAAGTAGTCCTTCAAATCAGCAAAGCTTTACCAAGACTCTAAACAGTTGACATCTCAGAAGAGTCGATACTGGATTCAACTCGAACAAAGTAGATATTTAAAAAAATCTCAGCTTATAAGCTGCCATTGTCAATGGCTAGCAGGTATAAGAAGCAAATATAAATAAGTCCTGATTACCAGTTCAGAAATTTGGCCGTCCAAGTTGTCTACTAGATTGAAACTTTTCAAAGGACTAATAACTTTATCTAATAGGATTAAGATTGACACATACTTCAGCATTCATTCTTGCTGAAACAACAAAACTCAAGAATTCTACAAGTCAAATGTCTCACTGGCTCATTTAGCTTGATGAAGGAATATAAAAGCGGGTTTTGCATTATACATGAGCCATACAACTGAGAAATTTTATAATCGGATGCAGGCCGCATATGAGATTTGGGTTGACAAGGCCATCTCATGCAAGATTTTGCCTGGCATGAGCATGAGCCAGTCAAAACTCAATAGTCCTACGGAAACAAAACCAATATTCCAAAAGCAGTAGCTGATTATCAAGAGTATCTATCTTCTTGAGCTTGAGGTAGTCAGAACTCAATATTCCTTCTAAAACCGTCCCTTAAAAATTGCCCCATTTCCGTTTTTGACCATGGGGTCGAAAACTTTATTCTCACATACAATACAATTGGCTCGACCACTTTTGCCTCGTATCCATCAACTCCACTCAACCAAAAAATAACAAAGTAATTAATGGCTTAGGGACAAACAATTAAGGACGGACGGAGTAGTAATCACCGTGAATAAAGAACACAACATGAATACTTTATACTTATAAGAATAAATAATTTTGAACACTGCAAAAATCATATCATTATCCCCCATATCTAATCCATAATATCTAAGCAAAAATTTCAATAAACAAACATAATCATTACAATTTCACTATTAAGGTAACAAGAACATGATGCTAGTCTCTGTATTTTGAGATATTAGCAAGTCCACCAACAACGAAACATGTCAACCACAATTAATACACTATCAGATAATTAATCGTGAAAACACTATAATTTGCAAATGTAAATCTGCCCTTCCATCACATTCACTGTATGAAAATTTACTACTAAAACTCATTGCAATAAATTCTCTCAATCAAACCCAGCCCCAAAGCATAAACTGAAATATGAAAAGTGAAATGGATTAGCAAAACTCCACAAGTAACAAACTTTTCTTTCCATGTAGTCAATACCTAAAAAGAGGTAACGAAGAGATGTAATTTACAAGTATACAATTATATGTCATGGCAAGGGAACAAGATTGCCACAGAGAACACAAAGCAAACAAAATCCCTCTATGCAGCACAGATACAGAAATTGAAAAAACATAGTCAACATAAACTCCACTAATGGTTGCTCTCACGCCTATAGAATTTCACGACACCTATTATAGGGTATAATATAACAATCAAAATTAAAAAAAATTACATGAAAAAATAAAATAGAGAATAATAAGGAAGAATTAGGTACCTGATTTTTGTGAAGATTAGGAGGAAAGAGATAAAAGGTTGAAAGGAGAAGAAGACTACAAAACAACGAAGATTAAAATTGGGGATTAAAATCGAACAATAAGCAATTGATTTTGTTTATTATTCCAAATGAAACATTAAATTCTGAAAAATAGGGTTAACAATTAAAATTTCAAATTGGGGATTTCGATAATAAGAGCAAGATATACTAAATTAATTAATTCAGAGTATAAGACATTAAGACATACCATTGATGCATCGAAGACGGCCGACGGTGTGGCAACAACGACGGCCGAGTTCCTGTGAGGCACTGAGGCACGACAGATCATGGGCAACGGTCGATCTACTGGACTACAGGAGGCCGGTGAGGACTGAGGTGTGAGGCAGCGAAGAACGAAAGATTGGAAGAAGCGACATACTATGTACCGCTATCAGCCACCACCTCCTGACTGTCGCCTTCGTCTACTTCCTCATATTTATTTGCTTATTTTCATGATTTTTTTCGTGATTTTCAAGCAAATATGTGAATGTGAGAAGATGGGGAAAATTGAGAATTGGGGGAAAATGGGGAAAATGAAGAATGGGTAGATTGGGTACTATGAGAATCCGTAAGAAGGGTTGTGAATAAACACATTTTGTTCAAAATATTTGGAGAAAAAATTAGAGGGAAGAAATGCGCGCTTCTAAAATTTTCATGATACAATACATACCGTTGCAATAGCTCTCATTTTTGTTAAAATAACTAGGCTATTGCAACGGTTCTTTAGATCCGTGGCAATAGCTCTACCTCTATGAACATTAGTTTTAAATCCTTGACAATAGCCTACTCTATTGCAACGACAATTATAATTCCGTTGTATTAGCCTTTATTATGCCGTTGCATTTGGTCAAAAATGTAGTAGTGAGTGAAAAGGGTGGGAAAGAACAAAAAAGGGTCCTAACAATGTATCTCGATTAAGGGATAGTTTTTCAAGTAAGATTGGGAATGATTCATCTTCCAAAAGAATGACCGAATTATTTAGGGGATAAACTAGAGCCTAGTGACGAGGATTTTGATATTTTGGCATGGTGGAGTGCACACGGAAAAACATATCGAATACTTATGTCTATGGCTCGTGATTTTCTCGCTATTCCGGTTTCTTCCGTTGCTTCGGAGTCCGCTTTTAGCACGGAAAGACGTGTTCTAGATTCCTTTCGCACTTCTTTAAGAACAATAATGGTAGAAGCTCTTGTTTGTGGCTAAGATTGGATGCGTAGTTCCAATGTCCCTATTACTATAGAGGAAAGCTTGCTTGAGTTAGAAAATATGGAAGAAGAAGGTGATTTTATAACTTTATATATTAATTTATTTTACTACTTTACTATATATAATATATGTGATATGTAATTATTGTATTGCATTATTTGTGTTTTGTAGGAATGAAAGACTGTGTTTTGGATCAACCGACGATTGTTATTGATGAGACAATTAAAATATCGGATCTCACAAGTGAATAAATTGATCCCCTCACACTTTGTTTGTTGTGTGGCTTTATCCCATTATTTGTTCTTTGTATGTTATGAAGTTATGTAACTAAAGACTCAAAAACTCTGTATTCTCGTCCTTAAACTCTAGTTTTGAATTTATTTATTTATTTATTTTTAATAAACTTTGATTCTTAGTTTATAGCTTTAAGTTATTAATTAGTATGTCATCAAATTAAAAAAATTGCAAGTATTTTGCAGGCTATAAATATAGGCATTACAGCAAGGTTTTTTTTAAAAAACAATACATGAGCTGAGGTTGTTTTTATTAAAAAAACAGCAGGGCTTTTTTTTTATTATTTTTTTTAAATACAGCAGGTTTTTTTTTGGTTATAATACAACAGATTTTCTTAAAACCAAACAATACAACAGGTTTTTAAAAATGAAAAAAGCAAACAGTACCAGATTTTAGGTACAGTTGGTAAAAAAAAAAATTTAGGTACAAACTTATTAAAAAAATAAATATAAAAAGTTTTGGATACCTGTGTCCCGTCATGGTACCCGAATTATCCGGGATGGGACACGGGACGACTTATCAACTACTCGAAGATCTGGGTACCCGGATATGAACACCCCGATCCGCTACCACCACCACCTTTCTCCCACCATTCAAATATCTTCTACCCTCTCCCCGATCATCTCCACCATCACTAAATTCTGTATAAATCAGAAAACAAGGAAATGTTATGACGCTCAACACACAATCAACAATTAAAGGTTGACAAAGAGTATGTGGTGGGAGTTAACGCATGTAAGACAAAAATAACCCAATTCATCCCACACATATAAACCTAATTAACCTCACATCATTAACCTAATCAATGTTCATATTTAAGGAAAAAATTTGACCTCATATGCAACTTTAATTCAATGGAGGATCAAGCTTAGAAGGCGCTTCCACAGAGAGTTCATCTTTGTCGAAATATAAAAATGAAAGAAGATTGGATGAAAGATAATGGAATGAAATAGAGGAGATGATTGAAAAACAAATTACCTCGCAAGCTGCTTCAATAATGGAGGGGAAAGCATAGAAGTTCCTTCAATGGAGCATAATGAGATAAAGGAAAGGTATGGAGTGAGAAAGTTCGGTTCAAAGGAGAGAGAAAGGTAATGGCAGAAATGAATGTTGGAGCAGAAAAAGGGGAAAAGAAAGACTGAGTCAGTAAAAGCAAGGGCAATTTCGAAAATTAAAAAGAAAAAGGCGAAGGCATAAACGAAATGTAACTATTCCTTTAAATATTGTTAAATCGTTCTTCTAGCTTTTAGGGGTTGGAGATATGAATAAGACATATAGGTACACAAACATTTTAGGGATAAAATTGTCCTTAGACTATTCATAAGTGTTTTTCCATACTTTTTTTAAAAGGTAGGGATATAGGTAAACAAATATTTTAGGGATAAAATTGTTCTCACACACACTATATATGATTACGTTTGCTCTCATAGATTGTGTTTAGGGGATTTTTCCCCGCCACGTGGACCAATCAGCACCTGCCACGTGTTAGCCACGTGGACCATTCAGGGGCTGCCACGTGTCATGCTTCAAAAGGTCCAGCATGGACCAATCGTGCCACGCCACGTGGCCCATTATCTGCCAATCTGGAGAAAGGCCACCGAGGCCCGAATCCAGAGGCAAGCCCAATCAGTCCTAGGTTTACCATTTAACTTAGTATTGGGCGCGTACTTCGAGGCTATAAATACAGTAATTAGCCTTCATTAAATAGGGACAGAATTAATTAATCATGTCGCCTATAGAAGCCTAAACATACGTGCATACTAATCGCTAGACCAGACTTAGCATTATTTGCACTCCCCGATCACTCCTCCCTTCCGGGGAACCAGATCACCCTCTTTACTTTCCGCACCTTTTACTCCACATAGAAGTACTAACTTGTGTAAGGTTTCGTAGTGACCCTCACTATGCGGAAGGAAACCCACCAAGACCCGCCCCGATAACTAAAGCAATAAAAGCATGCAAAACATAATTAAAAGAAGAAGGGATAAAGAATTACACCCTAGACGCGTGCTTCACTCGCTAAAAGAGCTCTTACTTCAACCTCGCAAATGCAAGGCCTCCGACGGTTCGTACCCTCGAACCCGACCCGATCATCCTAAGTCTCAAAGGTTAGTCAGGACATGAACAAAATATAAACTTTGGAGTTTTACGAACTTAAGGTATTCTCAACAATGGAGATGCCTTTATAGCTCCACTCAAGTGTGTGTTCTCAAAATCCCAACCAAGTGGGTATTTATAGAGAATGGGAACTTGAATCCCATTTCATGATCAATGTGGGATCATGTGCAATTGTGATAATTTATTTAATTCTAAATTAAATAATTAATCAAAAGCAATCACCATGCAACAAGTGTGAAGGGGAGAGAAAGAGTTAGGTAAGGACCATGTCCATGGAGGGGGGGGACCATTACCTTGCTCCCCAAGGCATGCTCCAAGCATTGGTCCCCACCTCTCACTAACCGGCACCAAGAAAGGCAGCTGGGCTGGCTGCCAGCTAGCACGCACAACATGCACTAGCCAGCACAGCCAGCACATGCATGCTGCTAGCAAGCCACGCATGCTGCTGGGTGCTTGGCGAGGCTAGTGCTGCTGCTGCTGCCTAGCCAACGTACACGCACACGCACTGAGCAATGCCTGGCATGGTGCTGCTGTGCGAGGCTACCAGCACACTGCACGCTGCTCGCTGCTTGGTGCTGCCATACGAAGGCACGCACGCAAGCAAGCAAGCACATCGTGCTGCTGCTGCTGCGATGGCCTACACACACACATACGCACTGGACTAGCCATGCGACAGTGTTGTGCTATGCGTAGGCTTGTGCTAGAGCTTGCGATGGCACCTAAGCACCCATGCACGCATGCTGCGGTGGTGCTGTGCCATGCGAAGGCACGCACACACGCAACCACTCTACTGCGATGGTGCTGCCTTGTGCGCCTAGCACGCATGGCGCGCTTAGCACACACATGGTGCGCCTAGGCTTGCGATGAACTAGCCTAGCCTAGCACTCACATGGCTAGGCCAATGTGATGCTACAGTTATGCTCGTACTTGTTGCTTGTAATTCTGCGACGCTCGGTTTCGACGCTCTAGGCTCGATATCCGACGTCTGTGTTCGTAAAACTCTGATGACTCATTGAATCCTTCGGATTAATTCGTCGTCTTGGATCGGTTGTTCGATTGGGTTCGACCTGAAGGGTTCAGTTAAGATTAAGCTGTAATATTAATTATACCTTAATATTACTGATCGGAAGCGGCCTCCACCTAGGCATTCCGATCACTTGACCTTACTGAAGAATTGGCTCTGTAATAATTCTGAACCCTCTATCAGAATAATACACTTGTTGGAAGGACACCATTCCTTTCAATCTCCCACTTGTCCTTCCAGAGAAGTGTGCGTACAGTGTATAGCCCATTTCCTATGTCGCTTAATGTCTTTTCGTGAACTATAAGGTAAGATTCATCGTCATTCTTATTACGTTCAAAAGTGTTTCTCGATCTCCGAGTTCGACTGTCAATAAGCAGATGATTTCTAAAATCCATTTAAGCACGGCCATGCATTTTCACAGTCTTGTTAATAGGGAGACATTCCCAGTCTTGTACTGTAAGTTTCTGTTACTAAGAGGACCTAATCTCCCGAGTGTTCCTGTGATGATCCCCAGTTACGGCAGACGTTAGGCAACATCAAAGAGACTAGTACTCAAACAAGAAACTTCAAAATACTCATGGTCGAGGAAATAAGTTCCGATAGCTATAATGAGAAATGTACTTATGACGTTTTAAATCTCTTAAAGTATTCTCATAGGTCGATCCGGTGCAGTTCCAAACTGGCACCTGTGCAAATGATTTATGACTACTATGTCCTTGCAGCACAAGAAACGGTGCTGTAAATCATACTACACACTAATCTCTAGTGGTCATTAATCTTCCATCAGTTAAATGACCTCGATTAGGGATAATTTTTTATTTAAATATTCAACGTTCACTTAACAGGTGTTTCTTTATCTAAGATATGGTCTTGATACCCTATTTTGAATACTTCCATTAATCGAATGGACTCATTATTTAATTCTAAACCACAATTAAATAGCAATGGAGTGAACAGTAATTTTGCATAAAAATTAATAATTCCATAAATGAATGGTTTTAATACAGTGTCTGTCATTAAGACAACCAGTTTAATTAAAACACATGTACAGGGAATTCAAATCCAATCTCCAACGTGCTTGATTCCCTTTGCCTCAACGTGCTTGTTGTGTTTCACTTGAGGTAGAGGTTTAGTCAAAGGATCGGCCACATTATCATCCGTTCCGATCTTGTAAATTCTGATTTCACCTTTGGATTTCCATTCCCTTATCACGTGAAATCCCCTTGGACATGTTTGACCTTCTGGTGCTCTCTTGGCTCTCTAGCCTGAGCGATAGCTCCATTGTTGTCACAGTAGAGATCTATCGGACCCCTGATGGAGGGTACAACACCAAGTTCACTAACGAACTTGTTAATCCAAATAGCCTCCTTAGCGGCTTCTGAAGCTGCCAAGTATTCAACTTCAGTTGTATAATCTGCGGTGGTGCTTTGCTTAGCACTCTCTCAGCTAAACGCTCCTCCATTTAGGGAAAATATGTACCCTGACTGTGACTTGAAGTTGTCTTTGTCAGTCTGGAAGCTAGCGTTGGTGTAACCTTCAACAACCAGGTCTTTGTGGCCACCATAAACCAGGAATTTATCCTTGTTCCTTTTCAGGTACTTCAGGATATTGGCAACAGTCCAATGCGCCTCTCCTGGGTTTGATTGGTATCGGCTCGTAGCGCTTAAAGCATACGATACATCTATCTTGGTACATATCATGGGATACATGATCGACCCAATTAGCGAAGCATATGAAATCTGATCTATTCTCTCTCGCTCAACAGGTGTATGTGGACACTGTTTCTTGCTGAGGGTTACGCCATGGGACATGGGTATATGCCCTCTTTTAGCATTCTCCATGTTAAATCGTGCCAGTACTTTATCAATGTAAGTACTCTGGCTCAATCCAATCATCCTCTTAGATCTATCCCTATAGATCTTGATGCCCAATATGTACTGTGCCTCTCCTAAGTCCTTCATTGAAAAGCACTTTTCCAACCAGCCCTTTACGGACTCTAGTAATTTTGTGTTGTTTCCAATGAGCAGTATGTCATCGACATATAGGACTAGGAATGCGATGTCACTCCCACTAACCTTCTTGTAGACACAAGACTCATCTGGATTCTTAAAAAAACCAAACTTGCTGATGGCTTTATCAAATCGCAGATTCCAACTTCTGCTTGCCTACTTCAGTCCATAAATGGACTTCTTAAGCTTGCATACCTTTCCAGCGTTGCTTGGATCAACAAAACCTTCTGGCTGTGTCATATACACAATTTCTTCCAAAATCCCATTTAGGAAGGTGGTTTTGACATCCATCTGCCATATTTCATAATCGTAATATGCAACAATCGCTAGGATAATCCGGACAGACTTTAGCATTGCAACCGGTGAAAAGGTTTCATCATAGTCAATCCCGTGTATTTATCTATAACCTTTCGCCACTAGTCTAGCTTTGTATATTGATACATTTCCATCTTTGTCTGTCTTCAGTTTGAAGATCCATTTGCTACCGATGGGTGTGTAACCCTCAGGCAAATTCACCAAGTCCCAGACTTGATTTTCAGACATGGAGTCCTTCTCGGATTTCATGGCCTCTTGCCATTTAGCTGAGTTAGGGCTCGTCATAGCTTGTTTGTAAGTTGCTGGCTCATCACCATCCACAACTAGGATGTCTTGATCATCGCTTAAGACAATGCCAAGGTATTTTTCTGGTTGAGATCTTGGCCGTTGTGACCTACGAAGGGTAATGGGTTGAGCATTTACATTGTTTGTTTGATTCTGACCAATCTTCTCAGCTGCTTCCAAAGCCCTTAGATTGTCAGTTTTATTAGGTTAACATTGTTGCTCGTCCTCTCGAACTTCGTCGAGTTCGATTTTCCTCCCACTTGTCATTTTGGAAAGGTGTTCCTTCTCCAAAAAGACACCATCACGAGCAACAAACACTTTGTTCTCGGATTTATTGTAGAAGTAATACCCTTTGGTTTCTTTTGGGTATCCCACAAAGAAACACTTGTCTGATTTGGGGTGAAGTTTGTCCGAAATTAATCGTTTGACATATGCTTCGCATCCCCAAAT